GTGAAGAATCCTCAGATAAAAAAAATGAAAATAATCAGATAGAAAAAATGTAATAAAAAATTAGACAATGAAAAGATGGATGTCAATGAATTAGTAAATGAAGTATCTGGTCACGAAAAAAAATCAGATGATTCTAAAAATAATGAAAATGGCGATGTACAAATATTAGAAGAATCAGAAAGTTCTAAAAAAGATGACTCTAAATCTATAAATTTGTCTGAATCAACAGATTTAAAAAAAAGCGATAGCATTACCGATCTCACTGTTGACTCTGATGAAAAGAAAACTGATGTTGTTAAACCAAAGATTCAAAGTCCTAATTACTTTGAAAATCCATTAGGCAAGTTTTTTATGCAAATAGGTGTAAACCTTGTTCAAGAGCATGTTCAACTCGACTTATTACGCACTCAAAGAAGAAAAAGAGATCGCGAAGGTGATAAATGTCCTGAAGAAGTTCATATGGCTATTAGTTCTTTAATTAAAACTTTAGAGTTTAGTAAAGAAAATAATGATCCATTCCAATTTGGCTTAAAAAAATGTGAACTCTGTAATTTTAAATCTGAGTCAAGTTTAGTAATGGCTCATCATTTAGAGACTCCACATATGACTGCCAATTATTGCTATAGATGTAATTTTTGTACTTTCCAAGTACGCAGTCCTCATGAAATATTACAACACATGGATACACATAATATTAGAGGGCGTTTAGAAAGAGGTCCAGCTTTGCATCAATGTCCAAGTTGTCCATTTGAAGATAGTTATAAGGGTAAATTAACCAGGCATTTGATTTCTTGTACGAAAAAATATCGACCAGAAATTAATCAGGTAAATATACTTACATTTTTATATTAAATTATTTATTATGTATATGAAGAATATTTTACTTATTAATTATTTATTTATAGGCACCTCCATTAGATTGGGAACCTCCAGCAAAAATACCAAGGGTGTTACGAAATAAACCTTCAATGAGTCCTGGTAATGCTGTTTACCAAGCAGCTATGTCTGGATTTAAACAATTCCCAAATCCTAATATGTTACAATTACAACAACAACAATATAATAAAATGGTTCTTGCATCTGGCGTTAGAGCTCGTGGTCGTACTGTTTTACCAGGACAGCGATTTCCAGGAATGGTGCCTTCTTTTCCAACAACACTGCCAAACCAAACTTCTGGAGGTTGGTCATTAACTAAATTAATTTATTTAATCAAAAAAATATCTGCACATTATAACAATTAATGCTTACTATATTTATTTAAGTAGTAGGTATATAAAATTAATTTATAGTTTAAAAGTTAGGAAAAAAATGATCAAGTATTTTAAATAATTTATTGGTATAGTGAGAGCTATAATTAATTTTTCCCTATTATTTTTTAAATTAATGTTACTTAATTATACATTCAATCAGTATTTATCATATAATATTTGTTTACAGGAATTTTACTTAAGAATACGAGTATTAAACCAATCAATCAACCAATTATTGTCCCTACACCTTATTCGATGAACAATCACACATATCAGGTAATTATTATTGTATAATGTTCAAATTATAAATAAGTTTTAAAGTATTTAATCCTACTGTATAATTTAGTTTAATTCTATCCTTCAAATAAAAAATCTAAAGATTCAGTATAAATTTAACTCATTAAATATTTCCTATCTGGAAATCTTTATAAAAATATGTAATAAGAATTAAAACAGAATTTTAAACCAATAAATGCTCATTTTGCACATAATCTAAAAAGTGCATTTTATTGATCTTACTGATTATGAATTCTGTCTTCCAAGAAAATGCTAACTGGGTAGCAATCAAACTCTATCGCGAATTGCTACAAATTCTTACTACTATATCACCCTGACTGCTCCTATTATATTGTGGGTACGTTGAATTTACCATCAGTTTTTTTTTTCGTATGGCGCTTATGTCCGGGAGTAGGCCCGAAGGCCTAGTTCAGACGTCTATTTGGCAGAATTTATAGTAGGCACCCATAGGTTTTCTGCCATGCCTGGGTAAGGAGCGGCGGCTTCTCTTTCCAGACACCATGACTGCCTGAAGAGTGACGCCGTCCGTGACTGAGATTCGAATTGGCAACGGTGCGCGACGCAACCGACGCTTTAATCTGCTCGGTCACTTTACCATCAGTTGCTATGGTGTAGTAGATTTTATGTGGATCCGTGCACGTGTTGTGTTCTCTTAGTAGACGAAGAATAGATTCACTTATTTAAATAAATTTCAACCTTAAATTACATCAAAATCTCGGTCTCAATAATAATTTATTTTTCAAAAATAAAAAAAAAATGATCTAAAAACATAAATTTAAAAGTTTACATGTATAAACTTGGTAAATTAATAATATTTGTTTAAAAATAAAACTTCCAATTGAATAAAGAAAACTATTTTTTATTTATTTATTTTTTTTTAGCAAAATTCAAATAGTAGTAAATCTGTTCAACAGCCAAGTATATCTATAACACCTCTGCCTCGATCATTTCCATCAAATAGCACACAGTCAGCTTTTGTGTCTACCATGTCTAAATCTAAACCCCAACAAACTCAGTCGTCATCCACTTCAACTAATAGTAGCAACAAACCAACATTTGTAATATGTGAAATATGTGATGGCTACATAAAAGATTTAGAACAATTGCGTAACCATATGCAGTGGATACATAAGGTTAAAATTCATCCAAAAATGATTTATAATCGACCACCGCTCAACTGTCAAAAGTGTCAGTTTAGATTTTTTACTGATCAAGGTCTTGAAAGACATTTACTAGGATCACATGGTTTGGTCACATCTAGTATGCAAGAAGCTGCTAACAAAGGCAAAGATGGTGGAAGGTATTATTTGTTTTTATAATTATTTATAGATATCAATGATTTTGTATATTAATAATTTCTTATATTTTTTTTTTTAATTAGATGTCCAGTATGTGGTAGAGTTTATCAATGGAAGTTATTAAACCATGTAAGCCGTGACCACTCTATATCATTAAAGCCAGCACATTTATCTTACAAATGTACTGTTTGCACTGCAACATTTGGCATGTATAAACAGTTTGAAAATCATGTATATTCGGCACACAGTAATGTAGCTAAAAACTCGAACAAGAAACCTCTTGGTAATCAACCTGTAGCTTCTTCATCGACTTCTATTACATCTACACCAAAGGTAAATTAAATAATTAAGCATTTTAAATGTAAAGATTTTTAATGTTTAATATTTATATGGTTTAATAAAAACATTTTATTATTTTTAAATTAGCCATTAAAAATAAATGATGAAATTACCATAATACCACAACCACCTAAGATTCAAAATTTGTCTGTTAAAAGTAGTAATAGTAATAAACCAGTTACATCAACTGCAAAACAAAGTTCAACTCCAACAGCAAAAGCCAAGGTATGAAAATTTAAAATTCTATACTATTTTCTACAAAATATAATCTTTTTAAATTCACTTATTTAACAATATCTTAATAGAGTTTGTTTCCAATCTTATTTTTGAAACATGTCATTAATAATCTTATAATGAAATTAACTCAATCGTCATTTTCATATGATTTTGTTCTAAATTCTGTTAATTTATTTCATTGTAACTAATATATATATTTATACCCATTATCTTATTCTAATTTTTATACATAAATATTTTTAGGTGTAAATGAAAAATAATATGAAGATGTTTGATTTTTAGTTTTGAAGAACATGGAAGATATCAAAGATTGTTAGCTTATCCAGTTAACTCGAGTTATTTTTAATTTTGTTAACATATTATCAGGTCAAAAAAATGTCAGGTAACTTAATTAATTATATTCGAATTTAATAATTCGCCAATTATAATTTTTATAAATATAATGAATATTATTATTGTTGATTTCAAAATTGTATTTTGTTTTTGACTACGACAAACAGTGTGTAGACCTATATTTAATTATATTTTACTGAAATGTAATCTATGAATATACAATTTGTTATAAATATTACTAATTAGAAATAATTTTATATTAACGTTATTCCCCAGAATATTATGTATATTATGTATCATCTATCCATGACTGTAAATAACAGTATGTTTATTTTCTCAGTGGAGGTGTATCTATTATTTTTGTATATCAAACAATCAATTACACACTTTATTTAAGTTGTTCCCATCCTTTATTTATTTTATTATTATTATTTTTTTTTTTTTTACTTAACTGAAAGCACTTGTACTGTTTATATATATTTATATATATATATATAACCGTATTAAACAATTTATTCTAACAATTTAATTCTAGTTTAGATCAGTGTATAATATGTCAATGCTATTATTGTACCATATTGGATGTACATTAATAATATAGAATAAGCCTATATTTCTGTACTCTGAAATTTTATTTTTAATTGTTTCTTTTATTCAGACTAATCAGACTGATAAATAACAAATTATTCAAGTTAGTAATAACTTAAAAAAATAAAAATTATTATACTTAGGAGATTAATTTTTTTTATATTATATCTCCAAATAATAAATGTCTGAAATAGTGTGAAAACAATGTTTATATTTTTTTTAACAATTAACAGATAATAATCTCTTTGGATTGTAAGTCTAAATATTATTTTTGATTGAAATAGCAAACATAAAGAGAAAAAATTATGGTCAATGAACTCTTTTGTCATTAATATAAGTTTTGTATCTAATATTAAAACAAGTTTTAAAGAATATGGTAAGGTTATTGAGTTTTCCTGATGCAGCTAAGCAATATAAGAGTAGGTTTAATTTCCACAAAAAATACTAACTAGATCCAGAAACAATTCTTTTAGTTAAAAATCTAAGAATTTTACATGGCTCTATAGATGAAGTTAAACAAACAAACAAACAATTAAATATTTAACATTAAAACTACTATCGTTCTACTCAGTGTAAAATTGAGCAAGTTTTTTATGAGTTTCTTTATTATTTCCTTTTAATTATTATAAATTATAATGAACGTGAAATATTCCATAGTTAAATATTGAGAATTTATTTGGGTTATATTATAAATTGATCATATTATAGTTAATAGGTACAATTATT